TTCCTCTACTTGCTGATTTTAAACCAAGCTAAAATACTTTTATTATTTAACGGAAATGTCTGTTTTACAAAATAAATTCTAGTTTTATTATCATAAATAATTTACAGTAGTTCCTTTTTTTTTCGTAATTTATTTTTTTTTATTTATCTTATCTCGACTACTGCTATTTTCACTATAATATGACTTTATTATAGTATTATTTTTCTCCTTGAATAGTATAACTACTCAAATAAATTTTGAATATTAGCAGTACAACCATTTAATTATTTATTTTAATTTATAGCGGGAGGTGCTATTTTATTTTTTTTACTATTAAGAAATAAGAGTAAAAAGAATTCTTCTTTCTGATTTCAGTTTAATTTATCATGAAATTGTCAGTCAAGTCCATTCCTAACAGTCAATGCCTCTTATATTTTGGAAAACTAGTTCTATATCATTTAACATTTTATCCATTCTTTACATTCTACAACATGCTAACCATGTTATATGTGGAATCAACTATTACCAAAGTTTATTACCAAAGTTTACAGAATACTATTACATTATGAATACTGCAATTTTACATCGCTTTCTCAACGAATGCCTTTCGATTGTCTAGCCAAAAATAAAAACACAATTTTTTTTACTACAGGCTTAGGTACAAGTTTTATAATATTTTCTTACAATGTTTTAATCAATTCTGTTAGTAGGCACACCACTATCTAAAAATTCCTACAATAAGTTATTTTAATTATTTTTGAAAAGAGAAGTATTTTCTTTTGAAACGCTTAAAAACAAATCAATCAAGTAGACATAAATTGATTCCCTAATTTCTATCATTTTGCATAAACGTTTTATTGCATATAATTATCCAAAATTATTCTTCAAAAGAAAACATAAACTCGTGCAGCTTGCGCGTCTCTAAAATAAACAACAAAAAAAATGCTTTGCCTTATAAAATGCATCTCGAACTGATAAGCTTCGAACTGTTCCCAGCTCTGCGTCACCGAATATTAACTAAAAACTGTGGAGTTGCATTTTGTCGAATATAAGCACAGTAGCGAGAAACTTTTTAAAATAAAGATTTACCACAAAATAAGAAATTAAACTTTGTGCCTTTATTTGCTCTAAAACAATATTTGTGTGCTTTATACTGTTCTTATAGACGAAATCTTAGACATTTTTTTTATATAAAAGATGTTCTTTTTTTTTTCTTTGAACTTTGAATCTACTTTCAACATTTCTACGGGTCTGGCCTATATAGCAGATATTGCATTCTGAACAGTTTAACTTATAAATTGCCTGATAGTGTTTAGGGTTTTGTTTTTGTTTTTCTTTAAAAGTAAATTTGATATGATTTGAGACGGTTTAAATGCTACTGTTATATTATTTAGTTTCTTATTATTTTATTTATTGTTTTTATTAAATCTATTATATTGTTTCTTATTCTTTAGTTCTAATAGTAGCTTAGTGCGAGAGCAAATGCTCAATGAAGCATTGATTTATACGCTGCTAATTTATGTTGTATTGAATGTTTAAAATTATGAGATATTGTAACTTTTGTAAACATCAACTTTTTCAAGATATCAAATTCTAATTTCTGGTCTACTTTTAACATTGTTAGAACTAAGAAATTTAATTTTACTATCTTCTCACTTCCTAAACTGAATTCTATATTATGATGAACATTATTCAACTGATTTGAAAGAAGATAAGAACATGATCTACATTTTTATACAAGAGAATAAAATATCAAGATGTTATAATTTTGAAAAGTGAAAAGCAGATTGTGAAAAGTTATAATCTTGAAAAACAATTTTCGTTCATGCGTAGCTTAAAAAGTTCCAAAACTTTTATTGTTAAATGATAATGTTAATCTTACATTTTTGCATAATGTTGCTTTCATTTCTAAATTAATTGAATTATTGATACTAATCTTTATTTGGCATATTAGAAAACAAGTCTTAGTCACGTCAAAGGACGCCAGAATTGAACTCATAAAAGGGGTGATATTCCTTAGGTTATTTGTAAGTTCAATGCAGATTCTGCTATTTTTATGAAAATTATGTAATTTCCTTGAAAATCACATAAAGGTAATTTTGTCAATAAGTGTAAAGTGGTTAATGATTTTTGTTTTGAATAATGTTTTATGTCAAAAGAAGACATATTACTTTATTTTTTAAAATACAAAGAGAAAGTGAGTACTAGTGTGAGAACATTTTTTAGCATTCGGTTCCAACTGTCCGAAATAAACTAGTTCAATTGTATCTTTAAATTATTTTAGCAATTTGAATATGCTTCATAACTTGGTAGTCTATTATTAAACAATCTGTATAAACTGTCGAAACAAACTCTGGCAATATATTGGCGTATTAACAATTAACAACTAGGAAGGAAACTGACTGCCACTATTTTCGTTGAAATATAAAACTAATTATGGTATTATTATTTTTCTCGTATTGATTAACTATTCAAGTTTTTAAATGACAACTTATTAAATGAGAAGAAAGAATTAAATTCAATCGTTCAGAAGACTGTAAGTTAATTCAAATAAGTTTTGTCTGGCAACTAATTAAATTACCAATTCTTACATTCCCAGTAAGAATTAAATTAAATCATTTGTAAGACTGTAAGTCAAATAAATGGTCTGTTACTAACTTTTTCTTTATATTGTGGAAGGCCATGGTTGGAGTTGTTTATGAGCCGTCACATTGGTCCGCCGCCGCTGATCTTCCTGACGCAGCGCATATCTGGCGTTGAGGAATGAACTGCAACTGCATTCCATGCCTGCCATCTGAGAATCTTCCATGGTCATGTCCAGGTCTCCAACCATAAACAAATAAAAATAGCTTGATTACTAATATACTCATTATTATTAACTTTTTAAATACATTCAACTTTTGTTCGGAAGGTAAACAAATCAGTTTATCTGTGCTAGACATAAAAGTGCTGAGCTCGCTTATTCGGGTTATTTTCCAATCGTCCTTCGGCTTCTGCAATGGCCTTGTCCGGATTGACGACATCGGTGGAATCGCGTCGGAAAAATCTGAGGAACCAATAATCTGGAACTTGATCCATGACGTAACACATCTGGTATGTGACAAACTCTCGAATGGATTGTGTTTATCTTCTGCAGCGGCAAGCAGCGGGAAGCACCGTGATCCAAGTTTGTTTTCTGTGCTCAGCAATAACAGTTGCCTGAGCTCTCGCCATCTCTCTCGGAAAAAGCGGTGATGAGGTCATCATAACCGTCCGGCGTTCGGCGACAGTATTGATTACTCTATGTTTTTAAAGTCTTGCTTGTTTAATAATCGTCATCTTATCGTTGACTCGGTCCGACTCGGTCTTTAACTTCGTTGTATTTCAAAGAATTTCGTCACACTTCGTAGTCTTTCAGCCATTCGTGAATTGCGTATACGCTGTTGCCTTGATCGTAGTTTCGTAGATTGCTCGTTTACAGGTTGTGTAACAAAATGAAGCTTGCGCACTAGATACATCTGCTACGGTTACGGATAGGTGAGGCGTTGGTATGGAGGGCTTAAAAAAGGAGATTTATCGGCAATGGGCAAATTTGAAATTTCTGTCCCCACTTTTAAGCAGCTTCCTCGGTTTGACAGCAGAGGCACTGCGATCGACTGGGATACTACATTTTCATTGTTAGTATACGATTTAATTGTGTTTTTAATAAAATTTATAGTTAATTTACTGAATTTTTAGCAGTACAACAATTAGTCGTGGTAGAAATTGCTTTGTACCTGGCTGTACAAGTGGGAATCCCAATAAAAACAAGGCAAATAAAGAACTGGGTGAAAGAAACCCAAGCCTTTTCAAAGGTCCTAATGTAAGTAGTATGACTATTTATTTATAAAAATTATGGATAGATGTTAAGAAAAAACATTAAAATTATATACTGTCAGTGTACAGATTAAATTATAAAAACCAAATTAATAGGAATATAGCTTAAAATCAACATGTGTATAACATAACCTAGGAGGCCTGAGAGCTTATAAAATTAAAATAATTTAATACTTACTAGGTGCTAAATTACCTGTTGACATGTACCTATATTAACCACAGTTTGATCAGTGCTATTGAAAGTGAATATTAAATATTTGATATTCAAGATCACCGTATTCTCAAAATAACAGCTTTAATAGTGAAAAATGTTTTTTTTTTATTTTATTTAACAATTATATATCTTTTATTAGGATCCTAGCTTGCTACAGCAGTGGCAAAAGGCGATACCCAGATCAGACAAGACACTTAGCAGCAAAGATGCTGTTTGTTGTAATGTATTAATATTGCTAAATAAATATTTATATGATGAAATAAGTCAGCGTATATACATATTCACAACTCTGTATTTTTGTGCTTTTGAAATAAACTGAGTACATTATTTATTCATTAATATTTTATTTACAAACCTACCTTATATTAATAAAGTGAATATCAATAGAAAAACCTTTACAATTATTAGGTGACATTGAATATAATATATCTTGAATTTAATTGTCTACGAAACAGTGACAATTTGCAAAACTTTGCTAATGACATTAAAACTAAAATTCAACGCTAGAAAAAACGCTATTGAACACAGGAAACGTTTCAGCTCAATATACCTACACTCTAGTTTCAGCTATAAAAGTTATGGAATAGATAACACCGATCAAAGGGTGCAATGGTAACGTTCGTCTTCAGTTTCCATTTATGATTAAGTTATTCCTGATAAAATACTCTTAATTTTCGTTATTCAATCTGTCAATCGCCATAAAACCACTACTAGTTCGAAAGATTTTAATGTTTATTAAAATTGTATCACACTAAACTGCATGTAAACATGTCAATTTAAAATGTTTTAATGAAAAACTATGAACCTTTAAACTGCATCAACAAAACTATTAATAAAACATTAACACAATCACACCATAAACTATTTCATTCGTATTTCTCATCAAGAAACAATTACTGTTTACATCAAATCAAAGGTCGAACTGGTGATATTTGTTGCTGGAACTTCTATCTTTTTGTACAACAGTTCTAGGGAAGATTTATTTTAGCAGCTTATATGTTTCTTCGGTCGTGTATGCACTAAAAGAACCACATAATAAAACATTTTTATAATATCAACTTAGAAAAAGGATATATTAAACCGGCATCTAATATAACCTAACTAACTTTTCAACCTCAAATTTAAGGTTTTGTATTCACAATTTTAGCCACGCACATTGCTCAATTAGAAAACCACGTTTCTAAAAGCTAACTCTGTTAAAAATATGCCCAAATATTAACTTGGCTCTATAATTTATAACAAAATAGTTATTCTTGCCATAAGAAGCTGTGTATTTCTAGTATCCCAATCATCACAAGCGCCCCTAACGGCGATTTTCGAACTTCATTTAGATCTCAAAAACTGGGCCCATAATTTTTGCGTTCGATTCGCCTCCTCCTTTTAGACTCCATAGGCGTTGGCTTCAAATACGATGATGATATCATCGCCATCTTTGTTTGTTTCGCTAAGTCGGCAATTTGTCGTTGTTGGATAGCGAATAAGTTATTAATATTTCTTTTCACTGTACTCTGACCGTACTGTACCTTTAGAATATTCAGAATTTGACTAGGCATTGCGTGACAACATTTTCATTTGAAGCTCCTGCACACTTCGACGAAACAATGTCTTCTCTTCTATAACGTGAGTTTATTTTCCCAATAATATTTCTTTTAACTATGCTTTTAACATAGGTTTTAAAACGACACATATTAAGAGTTTGTGCCTGTTAAGTATTTCTGCGTCTCAAGCATGTCACGCCATATCTGATTTATGGGCGTCCTGCGCTCCGATTTAGGGGTAAAAGTATTCCTAGAAAAGCGTTCAAAATCGAACGATGATTGGTCGAAACAATTCTGTTTCGAAAAAGAAAGTTTGAGAATATTACCTATCGTAGAAAAAAAATACACATATTCCGACGCACAGTACAGTTTTGAGTGCGGTGGCGTGAATAGTGTATCAGTTAAAGTAAAGCACTAGTTAGTTAGTGCAGTGATATAAGCAGAAAGCAGGGTGAGTACATCTCACTAAGTGTCGTAGTTTATTAATTAATTAGGATCATGAATATTTTGATAAATATATTGGTGCGTTTAGTTAGATATCATTTGCGTACAATACAATATTACATTAAATAACTGCGCCGTATACATTAGCTAGGTCAAAATATAGAATATGAAAGTTAGATAGGGTTAGCTATTAAGTAGTGCGGCGGTATACCGATGCGGCAGCTACGTGAGCTTTGTTTAGATAGGCTATTGAATCTCTTTACTCTGTAGAGTCGGTGCTGTCTAGTCAGGAGAAGCGCAAGGATAGGCCCGTTAATGTTGCTTGGCAGGATCTGGGATCCCGTAATGTCATAGTAGCAGGGACGCGATTCCTCGTAATGTCGCAACGGTGTAGGGAGTAAAATCCTGGTTATCACCGGTTTTTTGTTGTGCCTCTGGGCGTAACCAGATGCGGGAGCGGGACCCCGAGAGATTCAGCCGCTGTATCCGGGTCTTCTGGTTCGTCTAGACCGTGCCACGGGGGGGCGTGGACGGGGGCAAGACAGTACGTTAGTATTTGATGAGATAAGTAAATCTTGTATTGAGAGAGAGAGAGAGATTGGATAGTTCTTTATAAAGTACCCAATTAGTTAATATGATAGCCACGTAAGCTTTAGGTGGATTAGTGAATTTCTGTTCTCAGTAGAGTTAGTACTGCTTAACTTGAGGAAGCGCAAGGATAGGCCCGATAATGTTGCTTGGCAGGATCTAGGATCCCGTAATGTCATAGTAGCAGGGACGCGAATCCTCGTAATGTCGCAACGTCGCACACGGCAGGGATCTGGGATTCCGTACGCCGTGTGACAACGGACATTATTATTATGTCTGGGACGGTACCTCCGGGTCTTCAGCGGCGGGAACAGGCCCCAGGGTCCTCGAATCTCGGTATCGATATGTTGTGTTTATTCTGTTGCCCGTGCGGCTGATTACTCTGGAGTCCGCGCCATCAGGGGGTGCGTGGGCGGAAGGCCAAGCAGTGCATTTGCATAGATATGTTTGTAAATCTTGTATTGAGAGAGACAGATAAATTAGTCCATCTAGTAAGATAAATAGAAAATAAATAATAGGTGGTTAGGGCAAAACAATATCGGCATATAGCAGTTAAGTAGGTCGGAATTATGAACTGGACACTTATCCTTACTTTTAATTGTGACAGGTATTAAAGTACGCCTCCGCTCAGGGTCAATGCTTCAGGGATTATTTTGTGAGTCTGTATTTATTATATATTTGTTTTCCTGACAATATAATACTTTAAAACATTTTAATTATCCTGTCACGAGTTATGGTTTTGTTAGTTGTTTAGATTGTTTATTATTTTATAAAGAAAGTAAACAAAAAAAAATCTTACAGCTAAATTTCAGAAGTGGGATTCAAACTAATTCAGATTCAAGATTCAGACTCATTCAGACTCATGTTAACAAATCTAAAACTTCTAAAAAAAAAAAAATCCGCGGATAGTGTTCAGTTCATTTTATTATGCGCACAGCTATAAAACGAAAGAGGTAGATGAAAGTTATGTAAAACATTCGAGTATGCGATCAAAGCTTGACAAAAAAAAGATAATAAATTTAATATTCAATAAATTTAATAGACCAAAAGGTAAACCAAAGCTACTGTATAATGGTAAAAAGTACGGTCACTTAAGACGTGATCATCCAAACAAAGACCGATAATAATCAAGGGCGTAAAACATCTGGCGACTAGTTTCTGTGTTAGGAAAAAGGGCTTTACGCAGGTACTGACCCAAAAAGACGTAAATATCAGGCAAAAAAATACTATAAAGATGTAACTGTAAATAATCGAACTTTATGTTTTTTTTATAGATAATATAAAATTAAATGCAAAGACCTTGGTTTTTTATATTATAAAAAAAATTGCTATTTTTAAAGATGCCGAAACTTTAAAATTATTTTCAAAATTACCCGATATTGAACAGTTCGGCGAAAGTTCACAGAAAATTAAAATATGGCCCAAATCTAACATCGAAATTCCACCAGGGTTTTGGGCGCATATTCCTGTTAGCACTGACTTTGTCGGAGATCTATACATAGAGGCTAGTATCCGTATGAACGAAGGGCAAGAATATTGTATACCGCATACTATACTAAGATTTAGTAGTGATCATTCCACAGTTATTCCTGTTATAAATTTGTCTAATCGTAGCGTAGAGATAAGCAAAAAGAGACCTATTGCTAGAGGCTGGCCGTGCATAAAAGAGGTAAATGACTCTAAAGCTACAGTACAGCGTGTAGATATTATGAATCTGTCACCGTTGACCTTTGATGACATCACTATAGGTCACGGTCAAGACCGGTGAATAAAAAGAGATTACTAGATTATTAAATAGATATAGAGGGTGTTTTGCTAAGACCACTGACGAACTAGGGTGTGCAAGATCTGCGGAAATATCGATTGAATTACAACAAGATACCCCATTCGTTTATAGACCATACCACATGTCTAAAAGCGAACAACAGGAAGTAAGTGTAATCGTTGCTGATTTACTTAAAATAATATCATTCGCTGTGAATCGAGCTCACCCCTATTCATCGCCAGTGCTTATTAGTAAAGAAAAAGAATGGTGAAAAACGAATGTGCATAGATTATAGGAAATTAAACCACTTAACTGTAAAAGATAGGTACCCACTACCTAGAATTGATGATCAACTTGATAAATTACAAGGTAGTGTTTATTATACCACATTAGATTTAAGATCAGGTTATCATCAGATACCTATAAAGGAAAATTCTAGGAAATACACTGCTCTCGTAACATCCGAATCTCAATGTGAATATAACAGACTTCCCTTTGGCTTAACAAACGCACCTAGTGCTTTTCAGCGCTTAATGAATAAAATTCTAAGACCAGCACGAGATATAGCTGCGATCTATCTAGATGACATTTTAATATATTCTAAAACATGTGAGCAAGCTCTAAATAATTTAGAACAAGTTTTAATTTTACTAGAGAGAGAAGGCTTGACCCTTAATCCCGAAAAATGCAAATTTTTAATGACATCCGTAGAATATTTAGGTTTTAAAAAGTAAATAAGTACAGTAAAACCCGGGAAGGCTAAAACGGGAGCAGTCGAAGAATTTCCTACTCCCAAAAGTGTTCATAACATTCGCCAATTTTTAGGTCTAACTGGATATTTTAGACACTTTGTTAAAAACTATTCTATTATTGCGAAACCACTTACAGAGCTAACGAAAAAGAATAAAGAATGGGTTTGGGGTGAAAAAGAGAATAACGCATTTGAAAGGTTAAAGAGAATGCTCGTAGAGCGCCCTATATTACATATTTTTAATCAAGAAGCATATACCGAGGTACATACAGATGCAAGCGCTATAGGACTTGGAGGTATACTGCTACAAAGACAAAATGACGACAAATTACACCCAGTAGCATATTTTAGTAGAAAGACAAGCCCGACAGAGGCAAAATATCACTCTTATGAATTAGAAACGCTAGCTGTAGTAGAGACTCTTAAAAAGTATAGAGCATATTTAGTGGGCCGTGATTTTGTGGTAGTCACTGATTGCAATGCATTGAAAGCCAGTAGCAATAAGAAACAATTAATACCGCGAATTGCGCGATGGTGGTTACAACTCTTAGAGTATACATTTACAGTTCAGTATAGACCCGGCGATCGAATGAAACACGTAGACGCACTCAGTAGAAATCCATCTATATCTGAGAAACCTGCTGAAGAGATTGTAATGAGAATAGAGCAGGCAGATTGGGTGTTATCTGCACAACTAACGGACGAAAAGATACAGAAAATCCGTGAAGTTTTATCAAAGCCACCCGAGTCAGATGAGGACAAATTAATCTATAAAAAAATTACACGTTGCGAGATGGGCGTATTTATAGAATAACTGTAAAAGGAATACAGTGGGTTGTTCCAAAAGGAATGCGACAACAGGTAGTAAGAGCAGCACATGATGATCTAGGGCATTTTGCTGCGGAAAAGACACTACTTAGATTGTGTGAACACTACTGGTTTCCACGTATGAGACAATATGTTGAGAAATACATAAGTTGTTGTTTGCCGTGCATTTATGGCAAAAAGCCCAGTGGAAAAAAAGAGGGTTTTCTTAACCCTATACCTAAAAAGTCTGAGCCTTTTGACACATTACATATA